AGACAACCTCTCGTCAATATGCGTTTTTCGCATTGCATTGCTGCAAAAAACGCATAAAAAGCATTAAAAGTGCAGTTAAAAGTTTGCTCCGTCCTGAAATAAATGTGTGCATATCAACAATTTTTAGTAACAAATATTGCACACAGCAAAAAAAAACCACAACGCAGAGATGCTGGAGCTAAAACTGATTTCGTAACAGACAAAAAACTGAGATGAATTCACCAATAATGCATTAAAGAAAAAAATTACAGACTTATGTGTAAGCACGGGCAAAAGAAATTTGTTTTCTTTTTTTCTGCTTACTGATATGTAACACATATAATGATAATGCACAGTAAATAATCCGTATAATGAGAAATACAAAGCAAGCACAGATTCCACGCCAGAAAATTGGTAAGTTATTTAGACTAGATGCAATTCGTATAATCGTTTCTCAGCTATGCAGCTGACAACTCTTCCAAAGGACAGCTTCGTAAATGTCGTTATCAACTTCATTCGTTGTGAACCTCAAAAACGTCGGGAAACAAAAACTATCCAAACTGTCTGAAAAAATATGCCAAAACAAAAAGTTAGATATGCATACTATGAATATCCAACTTTTTATTTTCAGGCATAATTAAAACGGGTGGCACAAAGGTCGGATAAGGAGGCCAAACGCCCACCTGCGGCTGCGTCCATCCGTCTAGGTGCCCTGAATCCGGACAGAGATTTTTGCCCTGAGCTCCATCTGCACCTACGGAACCAGGAACGATTCAATGGGTGTAGCCTGGTCGGCTGGCTGAAATGTCCTACCAACCCAATGGACGTTTGCCGCCGCTGGCCATCGTACTGCTGCACCTTGGTAATATGTATCTCACATGTGTCAGGCTGTTCTGTTTTGGCCACAAGCCGTGTTCTTATGCATATTTTGTGCGGAGACCCGTGGAATTAGTTATGTTGCGTCAACCGTAATGATGTACATGTACGGACACAGCTCTCGTACCCCCTGTCTACTACGGAACTGGACCGTCAGTAACATGCTGGCCAACTTGAGTGTGCGTAATGATCTCAAGATGGCCTACGGGCCCCATCGTCTAAGACCCTGATACAACAGTACGAAGTTACCGGTCCCCACCACGTGGAGGTGGCAGCATCACCACATGGAATTGCCGAAGCTTTGATCATGTGGCCTGGATAAAGTTCGTTTTTATCCAGGTGAGAATTAACCCAAGCATTATAAAACGCGGTGCAAAACATTCGTACCAAGAGCTACTGTTAAGAATTCTCCAACATTTCACATATCGCAGCAATGTTAGGACGATCACGTGGATCCACAGCTATCATTGCACGAATTGCATTCAAAATTTTTTGACTGTACCTGAAAAGTTACCTCTACGGTTACTAAGAAGTTAAAAACTTCAGTTCTTTTAATTATTCAATATGCATCAAAGAATGTAGCCACTTTTAGCTTTCTCTTCAAAAAATTCTCAAGGAAAGGAATCAGCGCAAGCCCTGTCAACAAAAGCTTACTGTTGGTGTAGTACTGTTTTGCTTCATTACTGAGAGATGGTAACTTATACAGGCACTAAAATATGAGCATTTCTTATGCAGAAGCATTTTCCAGTTCAAAAAGCTGACTAACTTACGGGTGATTCTCATTATACACAATTTTCCCTGACTGCACAGCAAGAGCAATACTGTCGCCGCGTTCATAGATATCATCGAATGGTGAGCGAAAAAAACATAAGGCAAAGAGAAGGCAGCCAAGAGACTGAAAAAATAGTATGAAAAATCAAAAAATTTTTACTTTCCGCAGACATTTCGTATAAAAACAAGACTTTTCTCACTTTTTAGAAAAGAAAAACAG